TGGCATTTGATGTGACTGAGGACAGTCCCAGTCCAATACAGAATACAGTTGTGACACATTGACCCTCTGTTATATTCATTAGATCAGAGTTCTCTGGTTCTTACCCTTATTTTCCTCAAAGCCACAGTCATCAGATTCTCAGGATAATTAAGGAAATGAACTCAGCCATTAAATTACAGATATAACTGGCATTAAATTATCTGTTCTGAATTACTCTGTTGTAGAAATGTGGATTTTTTTTCCTTGTAGTTTTAAAGTTTATATTGCATTTGTTCTGTACCGTTCTCAGTATTTCGTCAATTAACTAGATTCAATTAGTAGCAGAAACCATAATGAAAACCACTTCCAAAACCACTTATCTAGTATATTTTGCTAGCTTAGTTTGCACATGGAGATGCCTAAATATAGTTGTGCTTTGCTTAAAAAAATAACTTTTTTTCTTTTTAAAGAAGAAACTAAGAAGTTGTGACTAATGAAAGAAAACAGTGATGTACATAATCTGGGGGGAAAATTACTTCTTAATTTCCTAAGATATTGTTGTGGTTTAACCCCAGCAGACACCAAACCCCACAAAGCTGCTCACACACTGCCCACCCATGGGATGGGGGAGAGAATCAGAAGGGTAAAAGCTAGAAAAGCTCATGGGTTGAGATAAACACAGTTTAATAGGGAAAGCAAAAGCCACACACACAAGCAAAGCAAAACAAGGAATTCATTCACTGCTTCCCATGGGCAGGAGGTGTTCAGCACCTCCAGGAGAGCAGGAGCACATCTCACCTAATGGTTCCTTTGGAAGACAAACACCATCACCTCAAATATCCTCCCCTTCCTCCTTCTTCCTCCTACCTTATACCCTGAGCATGATGTCCTATGGTATGGAATATCCCTTTGGTCAGGTTGGGTCACTTGTCCCAGCTGTGTCTCCTCCCAGTCTCCCATGCACTCCAACTTCCTAGCTGGTATGACAGTATGGACATCTTTTCAGTCAGTTACCATATAAAAATTTTCTATGTGGATAATCTGTTGAAACTTCGTGCAGATATTCAATATAGAAGTGGTGAGTTGTCACCTTTTTAATCAGAACTTTCAACAAACACACACAAATAGATATATACTTGTCCAATGTATATATATTTAATTTTCTGCAATTGATGATTGATTCTTGTTTTAAGAACGTTGATCTTTGCAGTTCTTTGAGAATTTTATCTGCTTAAAATGTCTTGTGTTTTCCTAAATTGTTGCTGCTGTAGAAGGCACTACATGAACAGTTCTCTGGGATGTAGTTGTTATATCTGTGGTGTATTTACGTGGCAATACACTTACCTGGGTAAAAAGCAAAGTCACTTACAGTGTTTGCATTTCAGAGAGTCTGCAGTGATGTGTGCCAGCCTAGAAATGATTCTTTGTGCTGTTGGTGTTGTTCCCTGGAAATTCTTTTCATGGAAACAAAGAAATAAGCCACACATGCAGAAGCTGTGAAACAGAGATGCTCCTAAGTCCCAACCAAAGGCTGTAACTCTGCAATTTCAAGTGCTGCCCTTGATCATGTTAAAGCAATTGCCAAACTCCAGGAGTGTAAATGATAAAGTATTACTTGGTGCCATGGTCTGGTAACCACAGTAGGGTTGGACTTGATGATCTTGGAGGTCTTTTCCAACTCGGTTGATTCTGTGATTCTCTGTTTAATATTCTGACCCACACCTACTTCTAAACCAAAGATACAAGTTTTATTGCTTTTTCCCCCCCAGTGACAACCAGTACCTAACCCACAGAGAAAAACAGATGCCTTAAGGGGCTTATACATCTTAAGCACTTTGTTTGACACAGGGAAGATTGCATGTACTTAGGAGACCTAACAGCTTCATTTGTCTAACAACATTTGTCCAGATGGTTTTCTATCCATACTGCAGTATCTTCACATGCATTTTAAGAAAGACAAACATCATACTCAAAATAGACAATAAAACATGCCTGGGTAAATTTAGTGCATTTCCTTCCTCAATTAAGCATCTGTCATTTTATACTGTCCCTTAAATAGTATTTCAGTCCTGTTTGTTCATTAATAGCTAGAGTAGTATTTATCTTCTTTGTTGCATTTTGGTAATGGAAGACTTCAGTGAAATTTCCTCGTGCAATTCAGTGTTTTCTGAGGTTAATTTGAATAGCAGTTGTTATTTTGAATGAGTGCAGAGACACATGTAATTTCACAAACTTCATTTGTGAAATAATTCCATTCTACAAGAAACTCTGCCTGCCACAAGCCTGAAGTACTTAAGCACCTGAAAACTTTTTTTTTTTCTTTGCTTTTCAAGATATTGGAACAGTTCTTAAAGTGGTTTCAATTCCTAAAGAGACTTGGCACGAACTAGAGGAAGTCTTGCTGGAAGAAATGACAGTCTTTCGGGTAAGTGAGGCTAAATTTCAAGTGTCAGGTTGTAGATTTCTCTGTGGATAGCTACAAACTCAACTTCTTGAAGTCTAACCAAGGAATAGCTTGGCATACCCCTCTAATTAGCTTGTCATTTAGAGACCCAGACACTAGTCAAAATAAACCTTGAAACTTTCAGCGTGAGCTGGAGGTTAATGATATAAGAAATGGCATTCTGTGCTCTGGGTTTGTGGTTCAAAAAGGAAATTAGTATTTCTGAAGCTTAGAGCTGTTGTATGCTGGGGTTAAATATCTACCTGTGCAAGGCTGGGAATAATTCCTGTCTGTTTTCTCCCCCAGAGAGATGCAATACATGAATTTATAGTTGCATCAACTCTTAACACTATTCAGACTATCAGCATATTGTAACCAGATAGGAAAACCAGTGACCTGCCCAGATTTCTTACACCTAACAACCTGAGGAACAAAGAAAGTGTTTATATTTTCAAAGGTGACTTTAGGGTCTCATTTTGATGGTTTGACATAAGACACCATAAACACCGCCTAAACTTGAGTCCTTTTGAGGTGAAAATCAATCTCTTGCACTTTTCCTATCTGAGCCACCTAAAAAAATATGCAGCATCCCATAGGCACTTCTGCAAGGAGAGGCTGGGGAAACCTTTCAAACACTTTCCAGACAGAACACAGGGATGTCTTGTGTTTTGTACACAACAACGAATCATCTCCATTCCCCACGTTATTCTTTGTGTCAGTGCTGCTTTATGGCTCCAGGCTTTGTGATACCTAGCTGGGAGCATCAGACAGCATGAGGCTGATGCTCAAGAGCCTCCAGATGTGACAAACACTGTGCCCTGAACCTGCCAGAGAGGCCCAGACACTGTGTCCTCATCAAACTCAACTGCCATCCCTTCATCTTTATATTCTGAACAGAGACAGCACAGCTAAACTGAGCTTCTTATGTGCAGTTTTGCCTTTACTGGTACCAACCTTGCACAGAAAGCACTGCTTTGAGTGCAAGCTGGAAAAAAAATGGGTGTCTCTGTTTCTGCAATCCGTGGGGTTTTTTAAGGGCAGAAATGAAAAGTAAAGTAGGAAGTCTGAGAAGAAAATGAGACAAGTAATTTGTGGCTCCCAGCTTTTCTTCTTTCCTTTTTTTTTTTCTGCACCCAAAAGTCATTACATTAATGCAGGGTAATTTGGCAATTGTTGATAATGGATGAGTCTCTTCCCTAAATCAAGTAGAAGTGCAAAGCTAAAGGAGATCACAGAACTCTAAAAGCAAAAGAAGGAAACTAAATGCAGTGAGTTTTATATCCGAAAGGTTTTACAGAATTACAACTGTTAATGGCAAATTCAAATTCCAGATTTTGCTTTACCTGTGTTTTTGGGGTTTTTTTCCATTACACAAAAGGATTTTGGTGTTCTGATTTAGCTGAAAGCTCATTTATGTCCTTTGGCATGTCTTTAAGCTGTAAAAGGAGCATTAATGTACATCAGTGGAGTAAGCAGAATTTGTGTGCATGAGATATGAATCTTTCAATGGGGAATTTGCAGCAGATTTTACATGTACCTTAGCCAGATGTAAGTTTTCTGCAGTTACTAGTCTATGTGCACCGTGAACAATGTACTGTGATGTGCTGAGTACAATGATTTTCACTTATACTTCCACAGAGCTAAGTCTTTCCTATCTGTTACACTGACAACCAATGTCCCTTTTAACCCCATTTGTGCACTAGATCTCTGAACAGCTGAGCAAACAACCTAATGAGTTGAATTTTCATTCAAATGGTGCATTTAATTGATGCTTTCTAATCTAAGGTCTATTAACCCCTCTGTAAAGGCAAGTCCACATGCTTCCCATCCACTGACCCATAGCAAACTCTCTCAGGAGCAGCAAGTTGAAAGCTGCACAAGTGTAAAAGCTTAATAAGGACTTTATTAATGCACATAACCAAAATGTGGGAGATAAATGGCAGATTTTTAGATGGTATGAAGTTTATGCAGAATTAACTTGCACACTTTATAACCAAATTATGTTACTTTTACTCTCAAGATTAAAATCCATCCAAGAAACTGGGACTGAAAGGTGTAAGAGTTGATTAAATAATGGATATTCCAGGGTGGAAAAAGCCTCTTATCCATTTCTGTATTCTGCAAATGTACATGAATAGTGTGGTCCAGTCCACAAGATTATGCTTGGGATTAAGACTTGGTTTTATGAATAAAACTTCACATGAATGGGTTTTTTCACCTTGATATGGGAAAAAATATGTGGTTTATTTCAGTGTTATCATCTTTAATATATTGCATCTATGAATTTTCATATAGCCATTATTATTTTCATATTACCTGGAAGGTTCTTTACGTGCAATTTTGATATGAAGTGTAGAAAGTCATTTCAAGATGTGAAACTAGTGGCAAAGTAATGACAATGAAACTGTAATAATCATGGAAAATGATATGTCTACAATCAACATAGCAATCAAAGATGCACCTAGATATGTATATTCATTCCAATTCATGTACAGCTAGAAAAGACAACAAGAAGAGCTGTTACTAGGGAGTGTCCAGTTTAATTCCAGGGTTTCTAGATTGTGCAAATAACATTGTAATAGAATTTTTATGTTTATAGCTCATTTTCTATCTTAACTCTTATTTTTCCCTAGGAACCCACCGTTATTTCAGCAATGAAGATTTCCACAAAGCAGGTACAATGTGTACAAACGTTAAATCACTTTCACATATTTATTGGTCTCTGTCTCTTAGAGACAGTAACTTGGCAGTCAGCAGAGACATATTAATTGCTGCAGCAGCATCTCATCCCTTTACATAAACATCAGTAATTTCTCAGGAAAATGTGACATGCAACAGAGAAAGGAAAAGTCTAGTTTATGTTACTTACTGGTAAGGTGGAAACTAAACACAAACTAACCAGCTGTCTGGTGGCTCTCTAGGGAAAAAAGTGAATTCCACATTGTACAATGTTTTTAAGTGCTGGTCCTGCACTTTGGCC